GTCGTCGCGGGACTATTTGAGGTCGATCCTCCAAAGCAATCGATGTAGTGATGCCGACAATGCTGAATTTCTACCCTTCTACCTTCTACCTTCAAAACATGAAACGATCCCATTATTGCGCCCCAATTGCAATAGCTGGCTACTTGCCAGCAATTGCCAGCTATTGCAATTGGGGCGCATTTACTGCGGGCATGTTCATACAACTCGTCCAACGAGCGTCTTCCTCCATTGCTAAGTGGCGAGGGAAGTCCCTGTTCGACGTCTTTTTTAACTTTTCTTTCATTATTGGTCAACTTTGCACCCACAACTTCATTATCGGTGGTTTTTGCCCGCGAATTCGTTCTTGGACTGTTGCTTCAAGGACAATCGTAGTTTTTCCAAGCCGTGTTAGTGGCGTGTAACATACCGCTGTGGAACCTAACCACACAAGGGAAAGAGCTACTACAGTGCAGTAGAGAAAGCATTCGACAGGAACAGTTAAACTCGGATACTTAGAAGTTCGAAGGTCAAGGCGGGCAAAAATCTGCCGAAATAGTTTTTTAGAATCCATCGTCTTTGCTTTCTTGTTTTACTTTGGACGTTTTTGCCGGTGCGAGCGCGACGATATTATGCTCCCACCCAATACAATCAGTTGACACCTTCATGGCTGAGATAATCAGCCATTCCACAACTTCGCTTACATTTCCACCATTTACTTGGCATGTGAGACACTGAAATTACAATAACTTCAACGAAAAATTCGCCTCGCTGTTTTTTGTCCATCTAATGTCGAAAAATTTGTCGCGCACAGATTTTCCAATCCTTCTGGACTGCAATGGCAAATGTCTTAGTTTCAGTGAGCAAACTCATAAGTGGTGGTGTTTTAAGATGTAAAAGGAAAGCTAGGAAGAAAACAGCTGTTGTAACGATGATCAGATGAGTTGAAAATAAACCAGCTGAATAAATAACTCCACATGACAAGGAAGGGCTCGGTAGAGGTGGCCAGGCGGTGGAGCGTTGGGTCCCGCCGCCAGACAATAACCGGCTTTGTGAAGCGTTAGCTGGCCTTCATAGAATGCCCATTTTTAAGCTCACCGTCTGATACGCGCGGTGGAGTGCGGAGCTAAAGTGGTGTCTGTAAACAACCACCATGCATTGGATGTCAGGATGATTTAGCGGTCGAATAATATTGATGCCAATGATTTTGAAATAGAAATACCCATTATCGTATATCTCTAAACATCCATCATACATTTCACTTCGGAGAGTGGACGCTCGGGCGGGATTACACTGATGATGACGCAATGCAGTGGATGATAGTTAGATGAATATATTCCCTAGAATATGGTTTCTCTCCCTATGTTCCTACGCAAATCGCAATTATCGGTCCTCCTCTGCAGCCATCATTTTCTGTCTCCCATGCATGTTACCTTCCAACCCTACACACCACTTTTTGGAATAAACGCCCCACTGCTGTTAGGACGCGCGCTATGAATTTCGCCTATCAGCCATTATCGCTCCTTATCACTTCATGTACCCATCGAACCACTCGTCCCCCCTACACCATACTCAAAATACAGCGCTCCATGCCTGCAGCGAAGCACGCTATGAATTTCGTGACAGACGGACGTACGTACAGACAGACACACACACAGACAGACATACTTAGCAAATTATATATAGGGTATGCGCATATGTGTCAAAAGGGACCAATCGTATGCGTTTCGAGGAGCAACGATCAATTTTTGCGGCGTGCGGTTTGTGCAAAACGACAATAAAAAACAAAGAAAATACGCAATTATGCACTGCGCACGTGGCGCTCCTTTCTCTTTTCTTCTCTCGCTTCATCACTATTTGGCTTCCTCTTTATCACTTTTGCTGTTTTTATGAACATTTGCGAAATGGCAGCATTGTTATCAGGAAGGTGACGCTGACGACGAGGACGACACTACGACCAGTGGGAATGATGACGCAAATTTCTGGCTGAATCAGAGGAAGTCGGGATCTCTTAATAAGTCTAGCGATAGAAAGGTATCACCATTATCGTGCTCAACTTGTGCTCAACAAACACCATGTAGCTTTACGTTAGGTTTCATTCAAATCTGAAATTGAAAACATATTGTTGTAGCAGTCGAAAACAGAAGTAGACTCCAAAACGAAGTCCAGAGAAAGCTTGAGAAGAAAGGGATCAAAAGAAGCGTCTTCACTGTTGGGTGGGAGCGTGGAAAAGAAGGAACAAAAGCAAGCACCAAAGTCATACTGGTGCTGGTCTTGACTTAATGGTTAGAGTTGGAGAACGATTAACAAAGCCTTTCTCAACAACTTATACTTACAAGTATCATCTAGAAAATCATCTCGTAAATACTCGAATTATTTACGAATAAATAGTTTCATTTTATGTATGTCTATCGTCATCGAGTGAAACATTTAAACTTGTGCACTAAGCTTTCTTGAAATTTTAGCAAACGAACGACTTAACACGTTAACGACATCGCGCGTTTTGGGTTTTTGCACCTCGTGGGACAAGGGCGCTTTTGCGAGCGCGGCCGTCACACTCACACCCGTAAATTTCGAACGATAACCTTGGGAAGCTTCAAAGGTACGAAACCATTTCAGCAATATTCAATGCGTAGAAAGTAATCGAAGATATAGTAGCGAAATTCCGATCAAAAAACGTGAAATGGTAAGAAAATTGGAATTTAAGTCCTTTTCTCTGTAGTGGATGCCAAAACTATTTTCGATGTGGATGTGTCCAAGTGAAACATATATTTTCTATCCCTTTAAGTTTGTATTTACTTTCACTACCCTTTCTCACTGACATGTTCATGAGAATAGGAAGAAAACGAGGAATGAACCGAGCTGCCAATTCCGCTGTGCTTAAAAACTTCTGCTAAACTGGAGCATATTTGATCATACCGTGACCCATGTCGTTTACAGTTATGTTATGTTGTAATCCATAGAATAGAGACAAGCAAATTGGGAAGAATCCCCGCATACGCTAGAAAAAGGGATGACAAGGGTGAGACGCGCAACCGCGTCTCAATGTCCAACGAGGTGCGCAAAGTGAGACGCGTTACCGCGTCTCAATGTCGTCAATGTGTTAACCTCAAACGTGACTGACTACTCATTGAATGACTACTTAGTCGCGCTTCATAGTTTGTTGAGAAGAACCCTGTCTACGTTTTCGTGAGATTAAAGAAGATAGAGGAAGGACTGACGTCTCTTTGGGAGCGCACTTTTTCGCGGTAACCCCTTGTCGACTTTATCAAACTTTTCTACCTTCTCCATGCGGCTTGAACCTACAAAATTATTTGGTAGCGACCTTCGCTACACTTTTAAGCACATCTGGTCCTATTACATGTTTCAGCTGAAATTTTGCCAACGTTCGATATGCCATCAGCCACCCCATGTGCCTTTCAGCCTCACTACAGAAGCTTTCCAAACTATCGTTACATAGCATATTATTCGTAATTGCTAGTACAAAAGAATGGTTCATACTATGAACTGATTCAATTCCTTTCTCAATTAGTTCAAGTCAAAAGAAGAAAATTGTGTAATATTAAAGGCTTTGGAAAGGTTGCAGCAGTAGATATAGAGCACCGCTGATAGCATTGCTGGATAGAGCAAAAATTGGGCTCTCTAATTATCACAGGATGATGCAGTCTTTCACAGTTTTTGTCAGACATGGTGCATTGAAAGCCGAGCTATCCAGAACGGCAAGAACTTTCTTTATAACTTTATCCTTCTACTTCATAAACCGCTAACTTGGTGTGTCGCCTTGTATGTATGTAACAACTTGGCTCTGCTCGCTATACCGCGCGCATGCCAAGGTAGGCACCCGTAAACTGAGATTAGCCGAGCTCTTGTATTCGGCAACACGCATAAATTCAATGCTTTGACTTATGCTATCAATTGACTGAAGGGTTATTACAGTGCTGGTGATAAGACTGTGACTTTCACATGTCAGCACCCACAATATCCGTCATTTGCCAGAAAGTAATCCGGTCTAGCGCCGATCAGGCTTGGAGTTAGCAATACAATTACTTTAGCTGCTTGCTATCAGCCCTTAGCGTAAACAACTACCATGCCTCGTATATTGTAATGGTTCAGCGGTTGAACTACTTATACCTGCGACTTTTGAAGAGAACCACTGCTGATTACCGTATCGGGACGTGATAACGTGCGGGCAAAACTGGTATCATATATACCGCTGATCGGTTGGCCTTTTCACTAATTCTTAGTGACTAATGTTAGGTGGTTTTCATTGCAACCAATATCAGCGAGATTCCGCGATTGTAGTTTCCCCTTCCTAGTGTCTGATCCGTGGTTGTTCACCCTTCACTTGAATGGTACGGCGAGGATATCAGCTGCCTCCTGGATTATGTACGGTTTGTGGAGACTATGCACGTTTGCCAAATATCTAGGCACTTACCAGGCCTGCAGTCCCACGAGGGTAGTCGGTATACTCGTGTTTCAAAGCTTCGGCAACCCCCTTTGACCACATGCGGCGAAGGGTATTCTAGCCCACGAATGTATGCCTGTGCACAGCACCTGCTGGCCTGCTACTAGTTCGATATCTACGGCATGTCCTCTACTGTGACTACCGCCTCACTTACTAGCAACATAAACTGCTTGGTATAAGCTCCTCTTTCTTTCTGAGATTTGTTTTTTCCGTTCAGTTACGTCATCGTCATCGTCATTTTTGCTTAAAGGCAAACTCCGGGAGGGGTTCACCTGTTTGAGTAGGAAGAGCTGGGTGCTAAGTTGATCGAAGGTAATGAAAAAAGCAGGAAATACCTCCAAAGAACTCCAAAATTAGAAATTCCTCTTCGTTAGTCGCTTACGAACCAGGGCTGGGAAAATTACGTGTTTGGACATGTCTACAGCAACTGTTGGCTTTGTGCCATCAACCGACACGGCCACAAAAAGTCAGCAATGAAAACTGATTTTTCTTTCCCTATTTTTTCTATTTTTCTGTGCTTTTTTGTTTGCTTCCTATCTTAAAATTTTTTCTCACTAGAATGATGACAACGTTCTCGAAAATGGTCGTAACATAGGCTTTGATGTTGATTTTAGCAGTTGAAATCAGCTAATTAGCGGCGCCAATGCTCTAACCTAGGCTCCTAGCGCCGACACCTTAGGCCCCGTTCATAGATCGCTGGTTAATGCGATTTAGCGATTATGCTGACAGGAAGACATACGTATCGATCTAAAATTTGCCGATTACGCGATAAAGCGATTTGATGAGGTGGCGGTTATGTTCGAAGGAGAAGGGTGCACATTGATCGAACTGACGCCTCCCAATAACCATTCGTCGATACGATATGTCAACGATCTTTCAGTCGATACGCATATATTTCTTTCAGCATAATCGCTGTATCGCCATATCGCGTTAACCGCGATCTATGAACGGGGCCTTATCAAAACGCCTCGCCACTTCTGCACATGGTCTGCCCTTGCGTACTGCCGCATATTTGACGGGGAAAACCCAAATTTGCCAGAAATCCCGAAATTTGCCTTTAATGAGTTTATTAATTCTTTTAAAACAGTGTTTTCTATTCCCGTTCATGTTGTTTTTCGGCTGCTGAATGGTCCAATTCTTGCTCGGCTAGTCACCTCTTTCCTACTTCTCATTTGGTTTTTGTTCCTTTTCTCCGTAACGTTGCTAGTACTAATAGCACAGTTACTCGACTTTTCTTAACGATTGTGGCGCGCCTTTCAGCGTTAGAAATAAAGCAGTGAATAAATAAATCTGCGCCCTTGCGAACGGCTAGATCTCACCCACCAGAATGAGCCACTCACTTGACTTCTCGTGGGTCGTGCTTTTCACCTATTCACGTTTGCGCCAATTTTTGATCATGTTAAGTATGAATGGTGCACCCAAAGCGCTATGTGGGAAATTTTCCTCCGTCGCGCACAGTGTTCTACCATACGTTCAAGGTTAAATGATGTCTTATCGACAAATTTGTTTATATTGCTTATCCAGGCACTGATTACTTCTCGGAATGTCCGGGTGAAGATCATTCTTAGTACGCTTACCAGACGGATGGCTTCTAAGTGCAGCTGCCCTTCAGAATATGCAGACTATGAAGACAGGTAGGGAGGTTTAGGTTTTAGCTGGTGCATCCTTGAGGCCTTGCTAAATACGACGAGTCTGCTCCAATGCCCCGTGTCTTCTGATAGCGCCTAGATGTCTTTCTGCTGCCAACTGGCACGGTAACTATGGACATAACGAAGTTCAGGCGCGATATTATGTATATAGTTTTTTTTAGCGAAGGACGAGAGTCGAGAATAGCGGGCGGAGGAAACCTCGTAAGTATCGAAGCATCGAAGGGCTCCAATTTGATTGGAGCTAAAATATCTGCGATTGATCATTACTGCGAGATAATTTCAGAGCGTCTACTACGTTATAGGAGATGGTTATGTGAGTATCATTTACTTTATCTACTTCATCTCGAACCAGATTGGTCCCCCGTCAACCGCCGGGACCTTCCTTTCCTGCGCAAGCTTTCTATCCTCCGCTATGGTCCCTTCCTCCTGTGACACCAACACCTCGTGGAAGTGACGCGTATGCAACACAAAGGTGTTTCATATAGTAGAGAGGCATCGCCATAATCATGATATGACGGTAGATTTTGCGCCTCCCCTCCCCATCCTCCCTCCACTGCCTGCTGTTACTGCACTACCATGTGGAATGACCGGTGTTGTGCTAAGTGTTTATATAGCCATAGGAGTGTTATCACAACTATCCTGCTACAAAACATTGATATCTCAAGTCCTGCGAAGCTACCCGATTTGTTAGCGGTTGTTTATTCCATGAGCTTCCTTATCACTCACTTCATTTTGCGGACGGACAGACAGACATACAAACCGACACACCAAGTTAGCGGTTTATAAATAGAAGGATATCCTTCTGTGTCGGTTTGTATGTATGCTTCGTATAATGTATGCTATACGAAGTTATGTATGTTAAGTACGTATGTCCTCTGCCGTCCGCAAAATTGAAGCGTGTGATAAGGAGTCATGTAATTCCGAGAAAACAGCCGCTAAGAATCGGGTAGTCTCCTCATGTATAATGTTTTGTAGCAGGTTGGAAGCGACCACAGCGTTAAGACAAGAACGCTTACGCAGAAAGGAGGGGGGGGGGGGGTGCGG